ATCCCCAAAGCAAAATTCTGGCACCAGGAGGGGAAACCAGGAGGCAAGAGAGATATACTGTATTTCTACCTCCATATTGTGCCTTATGTGCATCTCCCTCCCTGCACAGGTTTCTGGGAACCACCCCAGATATCTCGTTCCAACTGGACTCTCTATACAAGAGTGGCATGTTTGCCTAATTAGGCAAAAAAACCTACACCGATCCCACATCCCCTGGATGACTTATAATTCTGCTGAAGCTGGTTTCTGGCTCTCAAGATTCCGGCAAGCATCACTTGTACGCCTTTTAAGCGATATCTGCAATCTAGTGGACTAGGAACTTGCTTCTTGAAAAAGCCACAGAGAAGTGTAAGTTTCTTAGGATGCCGGTTTCCTAAGGCAGTAAGGACGGGTTTGTGCACTGGCGCCACCCACCTGGAAGGAGACGCTTCCATTCCGCAATGTTCCTCCAGGGTCCGCGCTGACGCCTCGAAACGTAGCCGTCAGAGCCGTCCGGTTTAGTTTGCCGTCCCACGTGAAGTTAGACAAATCGTAGGTGGGATAAAAATCTTCCGGTGGAACCTTGGAGAGATCTGACGTCTTGGCACCGCTGTATTCAAAGACCTTTTGAAAAATCAAGAAAAATATCAGGAGTCTGTACGTACAAGTAGGATCCCCCTTTTCCATCCACAGGATCATTATTCTCCGATTCACTTATCCGCTGCCTGAAAATATCAAATAAACTCAGAAATACATATTTATACATATTTCCAGGTTTTATTTACCAGAATCGGCCATTATAGGCAGTCGGAGATCATACAAAGTACAGTGGTGCCTCGCATTACGACATTAATTCGTTCCTGCGAAATCAGTGAAGAACGAAAACGCCGTCATGCAAAAATAAAAAGCCCACTGAAACGCACTGAAACCCCTTCAATGCGTTCCAATGGGCTGGAAACTCACCGTCCAGCGAAGATCCTCCATAGTGCGGCCATTTTTGGTGCCTGTGCAGCGAGGAATCCATCCCAGAAAACAGCGGGGAGCCATTTTATTTACGCAGCAGCCATTTTGAAACTGCTGATCAGCTGGAGGAAAATCGTCGTTTTGTGAAGAATCAGTTCCCGAAGCAGGGAACCGATCATCGCAAAGCAAAAAAAAAACCATTCAGGCCATCATTTTGCGATCGCAAAAAGATCGTTGTAATGCGGTTTCATCGTAATGCGGGGCAATCGTAAAGCGAGGCACCACTGAATAGCGTTCAATTCTTCTGCAGTTTTTGGTATCCGTGGAGGTGGGAAGACTTAGAACTGATTCCCACTGTTTTGAGAAATATACTTCTACAATGTCATCACCAGAACTGGCCACTAAAGCGAGCCAGACTCCATGCTCAGTATTGTTGTTGTTTAGTCGTTAAGTCGTGTCCAATTCCTTATGACCCCCTGGACCAGAGCACGCCAGGCCCTCCTGTCTTCCACTGCCTCCCGGAGTCGGGTCAGATTCATGTTGTTCGCTTCGATGACCCTGTCCAGCCATCTCGTCCTCTGTCGTCCCCTTCTCCTCTTGCCTTCACATTTTCCCAACATCAGGGTCTTTTCCAGGGAGTTTTCTCTTCTCATGTCTCGTGAATCAAGTCTTTGCTCACGTTAAAAGTATAGCAGTTAGTCTTTAAGATGCCACAATGTTTTTTTATTTGTTTTGCTTTTGCCTTGATACGCCAGCACAGACTAACATACTGTAGTTACTTCTTCTAAAACTTCTTATCATGGTAGAATTAGGGTCCTGAATTTGAACCTCTGGTTTAATTCTGTCCACTAAAAAATTAACACAACATATTGTCCTGACGCCCGCTTCTTGAGTTTGCTCCTTTTATTTGATGCGTATTGGCAAGAATCCCACCAATGACACATGCCGGCGTAGGCGTAATGGCGTAAATCTCAGGGGGTAGATTGCCATTAGTTAAGGCTTTTATTCTTTGCCATGTGCCATGATCACATTCTTACTTGAGAAAAAAAAAGGCCAAGCTTATCTGCAATTTCTCAGTCATTTGAGGGGTTTATGCTCTGCAGGATCTGAGGAAGAGGTCATGCCTTGGACCGTTTACTCCGAGAAAAGCGTTGTTCTCATTTCATCATACCTAAGAAACACGATGATGGCCAGTCTCTATGGAATTCCTAAAATAATTTTCGGCATCCTAAAACGGGACTCAATCCAATCCAACAAAACAGGACTTTTTTAAAAAAGCCAATTAAAACAAACAAAACTACAGTGGTGCCTCGCTTGACGAGGATAATCCGTGCCGTTGAAATCGCTGTTAAGCGAAATCCTCATCAAGCAAAATTAAAAAGCCCATTAGAATGCATTAGAAACCGGTTAATGCGTTCTAATGGGCGAAATACCTCATTGTAAAGCAATGATCCTCCATAGGGTGGCCATTTCCTGGTGCCTGTCTTACAAAAAATGCCTCTTAAAAACAGTGGGGGCCATTTTGAAAACCGCCGATCAGCTGTTGAAAAAACATCGTTTAGCGAAAAATCGGTTCCCAAAGCAGGGAACCGATCCATCGCTAAGCGAAAAAAACCCATTCAAACATCGTTTTGTGATCACTTTTGTGATGGCAAAAACATCATTGTGAAGTGGATTCATCGTTAAACGGAGTAATCGTCAAGCGGGGCACAACTGTATTTTAAAGCACTTTGACAAAATTTAAATCGAATCCACCCTGATGGGAGGAGAGACAGAAAGAGAGTGTCTGAAAGTCTGCATAGGCCCCACCCTATTGAACCCCCCCAGCCCCCTAAGTAACAAACCTTAAGAGAACAATGTCAGTTTCTTCCAATGACGGGGAAACCCATAAAACAATCAGGGAAATGATGCAATGAGGAGCGGGGTGTGGCTTTCTGAAACCAGCTGGGCCCCCACACACCTTAAGCCCTACCTGCACCCCCCATCATCACCTCCCCATTTCCCTCCCACAAACGTCTTCCCACCAACTCCACCACGAGGCCACCCATTCGGGCACCGATTCTTTGGCGAAGAATTCCCCGTACTCTTCCCGGCGTCGCTCCTTCGCAACCCACCCTGGTAAAGACGAAGGCTGCGGAATAGAGGACACTATCCACGGGTTCCACCCAGATGGCTCCGGAGGGAGAAGGGGAGAGGAGCTTGGTCCAGTTGAGACGAAGGGCGCTGTGCGCGCTCCCGGAGTAAACCAGCAGCACGGTGGGTGTCCCGAGGGTGCTCCAGACATAGTGGATGCTGTCATTCAAGCCTACCGCCTGGATATGCAGAAGACTCACCGCTGAGCTGTTCCAGCCTGGATTGTATTCCAGAGACACCTGGGGGGGGCAGGAAAAAAATGCGGTTGGTGAACTAAGTTATAAACTCATAAACTGCGCTCCTGACGTTTTGGACTTCTGAAGCCTCAGCTAGCATAACCGAGAGTCCGGGATGGCGGGCCCTGCCGTCCTCCAGTGAAAAGAACAGCAGCATCTCCTTATCAACAG